AATAAGCATTACACAATAACGGCGACAGTATGCAACCTTGCTTGATCCCTCTCTGACAGGGACAGTTCTTCTGACAGTTCTCTTCCAATTTTCACATTTGATCGCTGGCTGTAGTATAAATTTGATATCAATGTTACATCCCTCACATCCAGATTCTTGTTTTTGAGTACTTCTGTAAGTCGGTCATGTTTTACTTTATCGAATGGATGATTTTTAGCAAAGATTTTAAAGTATATGACATTAGACTGATCGTTAGATAATCACTACATTCTTTGGCATTTACTTTCTTTTGTAGACAAATAAATGTTGATGTCAGCATTTCACGTGGAATGATTCCTGTGGAATAGATTGTGTTTAGTAGTTGGACTAAAAGATCTATGTTTTTTTTCGTTGAACAGTTTTAGCAATTGACTTGGTAATTCATCTGGACCAGCAGCTTTATTATTTTTCATGGACTTTACTGCATGCATAACTTCTGACTTTGTTATTTCGGGTCCCTCGTCTTTACTCTGATTATCTTCATATATATTTTCCTGTCTGGTCATGGAATAATTCCTCTATATATATTCTTTCCATCTTCCTTATTTTTGTTTCGGCTCCACTAAAATGTTTCCTTGTTTGTCCAATAGTATGCTTGAGGTTTTTTGTTTTGCTACCCTAGCTAATTCTTTAACTTTCTTATGGAGATTGAAGTTATCATATTTGTTTTGTAAGTCTTCTATTTCTTGGCATTTTCCAGTGAAATAAGTCTCTTTTGCTTCTCTTATTTTCCTTCTTATTTGATTATGAAGCTGTTGATACTGAGTTCTGTATGTTGATATTCTTTTGCCTTCTTCTGTCCTTCATCATTTCCAAGATTTCTTCTGTCATCCAACCTCCATTCTTGAATATAGTTGTTGTGAGTTCCCTGCGACTTGGTTCGATAATTGCATTTTTACAGAATTGCCACTGTTGTTCTACATCACCATCAATTGATTCCGGTGTGGATTCTAGGTTTGCATTAATTTCTTGTTTTAGTTTTTCTTTGATGTCTTCTGATTTTAATTTTTGTACGTTTAGTTTATCACTTTTGTAGCTTTTTTTGTATCTTTTTTAAATGAAGTTGGAATTTTGCTACAAGAGGATTGTGGTCTGACGCCACGTCTGCATCTGGGTACGCTTTTACCGATTGTATTGCGTTTCAGTATCTGTGGTTTATTAAAATATAGTCAATTTGGTTTCTAACGATTTTATCGAACTTATCAGCTGGCGATTTCCAAGTGTAAATGTGTCGTTTAGGCAGTTTGAAGACAGTATTAATTACCGCAAGATTATGTTCTAGACAGAATTATATAAGGCATTCTCCTCTTTCATTTCGAACACAGAGTTCATATGGTCCTACAGTAGACTCACATCTTCCTTCTCCAACTTTGGAGTTAAAATCACCAATAACTAATGTTATATCTCTAGATATTATATTTTGTAGTGTTTTTGAAGGTTCAATGGCTAATTTCTTTGCCAATATCTGAAAATTTAAAAAATCTGTCGGCTTCATTTGCAATACAATAATTTTTTTTAATGACTTGCAATCTGCACATTCTTAATTTTGTAGCTGATGATTTAAAGCAAATATAAGTCTTGATTGCTTCTGTTGTGGTGTAAGAGTGATGTTTTTTTGTTGCAGTTCGGTACCTCAGATGCGATGTTTTAATTCTGCGCCAAGTTGTTCTCTTTTTTCCCGGAAACTATGACATAATTCTAGCAGTTTTCGCATCTTCAAAAGTATTCTCTTCTAATATCTTCAACAGCTTACGATATTCATGAGCGGTAGATATTTTTGGTTTTTCCAGAACCTTGCTTTCTTTAGAGAGTTTTTTGTTCTCTCCATGTTTTATTAATATTAAAAACTGTTCTGCTTACGTTAAAATTACGTTAAAATGGTTCGTTAAATTACGGTGTTACGCAGATAGTGACCAACCATCTTCTAATTTCGTTACAATTCTTGCTTTTATGTAGAGCCTTTCTTTGCTAGCATGTAGAGCCATTTTTTAAGGTTGAACAGAATAAGTCATCTGACAAATTTTAAGATTTGGCAGTGTCAGTGACAGTATGTAATAATAAGTACTTATCCTTTAAAATACATTGCTCAATTTTCTACTAAATATACAGTAAGATTCGTATCAGTTTTTTTAGGAACCAGCTGTACTTGACACCATGCTCAAACTTTGTAGTATTCTGATGTAAATTTTCTATAGGGAATTATAAACTTGCATGAGTATTGCTAAATTAAAACACAGTGAGGTATTTATAACTTGTAATAACAAAAAGGCAGTGAAATTTAGGAAAATGTAAATTACAAACAATTTTGACAAACATAATATTAAATGAAATATATAAAAAAACCACGTAAGGTAGAAATAGTATAGATTGAATATATATCCAAAACAAACAACTTTCAACACTAAAAGAATAACAACAGAAAGTAATCTTTACTTTCGGCACAAAATACTACAGAAAAAGTATATTCAAAACTACAAGTAGAAAAAAGATTTTGATCTGTACTAGAAAATATGTATTATAACATTTATTTATGTATTAGAACTCTAACAATGAACACAAAATGCCCATGGTATCATTAATAAATAACAACTAGCCCATTTTTAAAATCTCTGCATTGTATTAGATGACAAAAATTATTTTGTAGCATCCTCATCCCCGTGAACTTGAGATCAAGTTTATGTGAAATCCAAAATGTTTAATATGAAAATAGAATACATCATCCGGTGCTTGACATAATAAACGGCTCTAGATATAATAAACCTTCCTGAAATGTGATGTTGGCTACAAATACTTACAAACTTCGGGGGTGATAGCATTCATAAGTAATTAAAAATTATATACACTCAGGTGCAAAAAAATCGATCCATTCCTTATTTATTTGAAGTTGTACAATTTTAGAGACATTAAATTACGTGTGTAAATTTAGGTGTACCCTTGTATACGAGAAATAAAATAATATTTTCAATATTGCTTTTTATATTTCTTAAAACAAATTGGTATTTCAGGTTTTTGTCAAAAAGGGTCTGAAGCAAGTAGTATTTATTGAATGTTGTTTTTAATGCAACAACCATACTAGTGTAGTGATTTTATTTTCAAAACGTGATATATTTTTATTTAATTATCCTTCCTAAATGTTTCTAACTCCGACAGATGCTGCAAGGGCGGTGACTTTAGTTCAACATGGTCGTAGCCAATATTATGCAGCTGAAATGTTGGGTATTAGTCGATCTTCGGTTCAAAGAGCAGTTCGGCGTTTGAGCGATACCGGTAACTTCACAAGAAGACCAGGATCAGGTCGTAGAAGGGTAACATCCGAAAGAGATGATCGATTTCTGGTCTCATCATGTTTGAGAAATCGGCATTTAACTTCAGTTGAACTGGCAAATCGTCTGAGCGAAGTGAGAAATGTGGATATAAGCAGATAGACATTTCGTCGACGACTTGTAGAAGGTAATTTATTAAACAGAAGGTGGATTGGAGATAGAAGAACCTATCTCCAATACTATCCATAGAATATCGCAGAGCTCGCCTTGCTTTTTCAAGAGAACATGAAAACTGGAGTGATGCAGATGCCTGTGAGGAAGTCCAATTTCTCGGACACATCCTTTCACCTTTGGGTATCCGGCCAAATGAAAATAAAGTATCTGCCATACTAAACATGACACCACCCCTAAATGTTACTCAACTGCTAAAATTCCTGCAAACATGCTCATGGTTCCGTAGATTCATCGAAAATTTCTCCCATGTTGCTAAACCTTTGTCGAATTTCGCCTTGCTTTTTCAAGAGAACATGAAAACTGGAGTGATGCAGATTGGAAATATGTTTGTCTAAGGTCACCAGACGGCCGAGAAAGGGTTTGGAGAAGACACAGAGAGCGATATTTTCAATGTAATATTGCGGAAAGAATAAGTTATCGGGGGGACTCCGTTATGGTTTGGGCTGGTATCAGTTCAGAAGCCCATACTGATTTAGTTATTGTAGATAGAGATTCTCTGACTGCTGCACGATACATAACAAGTATTTTAGATCAGCATGTGGTACTTTTTGCTCCTTTCATTGGATCTAATTTTATTTTTATGGACGACAACGCGCGTCCTCACCAATATACAGAGGAGGTCGGAATTGTCCGCATGAACTGGCCAGCTTGCAGTCCCGATCTCAATTCCATAGAACATCTATGTGATATGATGGGAAGACGTCTTCGAGCACGAGTACCCCATCCAAACAACTTGGCTGAACTTACAGCGGCTCTTCAAGAAATATGGGACCAATTGGATCAATTTAATATCCAGAGGTTAATGACCTCAATGCCTAGATGTGTACGGGCTGTTATAAGGGCCCGAGGGGGAAACACTAAATATTGATTTATTATCAATGTTTTTCTTAATTTCAGAAAGTTTTGAATATTCTTGTATTTTTGAGTTTTGGCGTATGTCTTTATAAATAAATGATTTTTTTTGGATAATCTGTAAAAATTATTTTAATCTAACATATACTTTTACATATATACCTGATTTAAAACTAATATCTTCAAACGTTTTCTTTTTCAGCAAATAATACCCATGGATCGATTTTTTTGCACCTGAGTGTATATGCCGATAACACGATTAGACTGACTAGCACACAGGTAAACAAACAATAAACAAAAATTAAGAGGATTGATGGAACAAGTAATGAAAATAATACAAATACCATGGCAGGCTTAAAAGTTTTCGAGTACATAGTATTTATTGGATGGATTATTACCCATAAAATAGATTCCAAACATAAAATAAATAGAAAACTTGCAGTTAAGCTGTACAAGAAATTTTTTGGATCATAAACATCTCAACAAACAACACAAAAAGAACTTTATTAATTTTAAACAGCAAATTCAACCATGGAATAAACGTAAAAAGTACTAGAACACTGTATATGTAACTCACAAGAAAAATATTTGAGAAGTCATCTCAAAATCAATAAAAATACACATTTTTTATTGCTTTTCATACATAAATACACTTAAAATTTTACTAATCTGTATATTTCACTTGTTTCTGTTTATTCACCACGAAACTAGGCACTCAATACATTTTTTTTTTCCAAAAAATAATCAATATTACCAAGTTATAAAATTTAAAAAGATTTAATACCCAAAATAACTTACTGCAAAATTTTAACCATTAACTTGGCAGTCAAGAATTATTTTTTAGAATATTTTTTCAACTTTAGGAGTCGCCATGACCATTGATGTCTCTCTGAATGGCCAAAATGACCGTGTGTTGTCCTCCGCTACTAACTCTAAATACTTTTTTGTCTTGTAATTGTTTACTTTTTATTAGAGTTGGAACTTCGCAATCGTCTTCTTCGCCTGTGCCCAGTTGGCCGTTAGTCCCCATTCCCCAGCCATACAAATCTCCTAAAAAGAATAACCAGTAAAATGTTATATCTAGAAATATAATAAAGACATATACAGCTGGTAAAAGCTTCTAACGAGTCTATTTTCTTATTAATAACTTCCTCTTTTAAGAAAATACCAGTATTAGTAAGTCAGTCACATATAGAGGATACATCATTTATGTTGTTTTAAATAACGTAACATATAAAATCAGAATTTTTGATGTTTGTTGAAGGTAAACTAAATTCACGAACAAATACTTACAATGTCGGGATAGTATTGTGAGGTTTTTTTCCTGGTTTTTCTCTCATAATTTACTATGGAATCACTAACAGGAGAATTTTACTGTCATCATGTCATGTGTTTGTCTTTTTAAAGACGAATTACATGCTATGATTTTTTCTGACGGATATTCTCAAGTTAAAGTTGATTTCATGTAATCGAATGAACTACTTATAAGTAAAGTCGTCCCAGGAGCGCAACTCAACAATATTGGCAATATCATTTTAAAGTCGTCTACTTTAAAATGCATAATGTATGTCTGAATTGTCAATATAAATGAGTCAGATAAAATTAAATTATTAGAAGATTTTTTTCACTATGTAACAAAAAACAAAATGTGTTTAATTTACTGTTTGTATTTTGAGAACGATTTCCGAAGTGGAAATTGAAACGTCAATAAACGTATTTTTATCTTTAATTGTGGCTTATTCCCAGCTATAAATAGTAATTAATTTGCAATGCCACAAGAAAATAGCTTCAGAACAATATGATATTGTTATATTCTCAAAATACAAATAACATAACAAAAATTGTTATATTCTCAAAGTACTCAAAATGTACAAGAGTGAGATTTAACTAGCACTACCATAGAAGCTTTATTTTTGCAAGACTCCTATAATTTGGATAGCATGACCAAACATGATAGCTTAGCTTCTCGATCTGCTTCCTCTATTTTTTTATCAATAGTGGCATAGATTGAATGTTGCAATAACCAAAATGATATCTTATTAATATTGAATAGTGATTTAGTCATTAATATGCAAGAAAAACGGCTAACGGCTCTTGCACCTATACCTAAAATCCCAAATGTCTATCCTGAATTAATGAAAAAACTGGTTGATTACAGTGAATCTGATTCTGAATTTGATGAACCTGTAATCAAAAGAAAGAAACGGTGCCAAGTAAAGAAAGACCAATGGGTTAGTCAAAGAAATAAAACAATAGGGAAACAGGTAAAGAATACTGCAGAAAACAAGAAATTGATAGAAAGAGGAGAAAAGATATAAAGAAACCAAAAACATTATGAAGCTTCGATGCAATTGTAAAGAAAAAAGGAATAGTGTTATCCAGTGCAATATTATGTCTGAAAATAATCGAAAAACATTATTTGATCAGTTCTGGACTTTTACTTGGAAAAATGACTTAACATCGATAATTTAGCAAAAGTTATTCATACAGGTAGACAAAGACATAGGAATGATCCATAAAAATGTAAGAGTTAATACTTTTATTTACCATCTAAAAAAAGCGAAGATATGATCAGTATGTAAAACGTTATTCCTAAACACTTTTTCTATCGGTAAATCATGTATTTGGTGTTGGAAGCTTAAAACTATAGGAAAGAATACCAGTGAACAATTAAAAACAAATATTACTAGAAATCCATTTGATGGGGATTGCAAACTTTGCAGGACTTTTTAGATGTTTTGACCAAAATGTCGTCCCATTATTGTAGAACAAAGACAACAAAGAGATATATACAATCGGACATTTCATCCAAGCAACATCTTTACAAAATGTACACAGATTATTGTGAGTCAAAAAACAAAAAGACGTTATCTATTGCTAATGTTACAATACGAAAAATATCTCTCTTTAAACCGCAGAAAGACTAATGCGAAATTTGTAATGGATACACGTTGGGTCATATTGGAAAAGAAATTTATGAAGAGCACATAAGTAAAAAAAATTAAGCAAAAATGGAGAAGGAATCTGATAAAGAAAAAAAAGAATTTGTCTTTACTACCGATCTTCAAGCTGTACTTTTGGCGTGACGCTCCAGCGTATCATCTAATTATTATTGCGTTGACAATTACATAATGATCATAATTACAATACCGTTTCAAAATTTGTCAAATTTGTACCCTGAAAGCAGAAAAATTACAAGAAAGAAATACTTGGATTTACAGCAACTAAAGAACTTGATGCCGAGAGATTACCATAAGTACTATGACGACCTTCCTCATGAAGACTAAAAATATGTTATAAATCATATTTATAAGTATAATTCCGTTTGTTTTGTTTTAAATTAAACCCAATTTATAATCATACATGAATTTTTATTTGAATTATTCTCTGGTGCATACCAGCTAACTCCAACAGTACATATTTTTCCTAAGACTGTTAAGGCATTCGGTTGGCAATAATGTATGTCTTTTAACAATTTACACTCTTCAGTTAAAACAAATTTCTCTGTGGAAATTCAATTAAAAATTTTAAAACCTATTAATAATGGACACTGAGAAAGTTTCTCAAAGGAAATGAGGCAAGATTTTTAAGGTCTCTTACCTTCTTCAGTCACAGCAAATGATGTCGCGGATCCACAAGCAACATTTACCACCTTCTTTCCTTCCAGAGTGTCAACAGGTTTCAACTCAACTGCATCTTCACAGTCCTTTCCTAAACCTAATCGTCCATAGTCTTTTCTACCTATTGCGTGAACCTTACCATCTAAATCCAAAGCTATGGTATGGTGCTGCCCACTGCTGATTGTATGCCAATTGTATTTGGAAAAGTCTTTTGAAAGTGTGGGCATAAAATATGGATTGAGTTCCTTTAGTCCTGAAATAATAAAATACTCACTCAATATACTGGATATACAGAGTGGTTCATAAGAAATAAAACTGACTTATATAATAAAAAGAATAAATACAAACATTTCTTTAACTCTTACCTAATTGGTTGTAATTGTTAAGTCCAAATACATACATATCTTCACTGTTGGCTACTTTACAGAAGGTCCCATAATTTGATGCCCAAATGTTGTCAAAATGTAATCGTAAACTTGCTTTCAGACTAATAGGTTGCGGTTTTAGAAGTTTTTCTGAAAAAATACTCTTCTTTCTCATAAAAGATGTATAAATCCTACTGTAGTTAAAGCAAGAATTAAAAACACATGCAAATAAAAGATAAATGCCCATAATATGGTTAACAAACCCATTCTACATTGATCCCATTTATGATCTATTAATTAGCCATAACAAGTATAAATAAAAAATAGAATGCATTCGAAACAAATTCATTTTGTATCGGATCATTGATTTATCAGTGACCCGACAATGCCAGAAGTCTACTGTCCGAGGAGAGATTCACAGAAATGGAAACTGAAAAAAATAAAATTAAAAAGCGGATGTCTATGGTATCAGCGAAGTTAGAAAGAGAGGTGAAACTTTAAAAACACTGAAATCAGGGCGTATATTCTATCAGATTAGCCTTAAAACTACATCAGTTGGAGGCATCAGTTTTTTGTCCATAAAAACCACGCGAACAATATAATAAACATCCAAAGTATATCATCTAGAGTGGCATATCTTATTCTAAAGTAGAACAGTAGATATCAACAAAAGATAATTATATAAGTAAACGCTCCAACAACCGACCATACAGACGAAGAAATCGAAATGAGCAGAGCTAGAAACATGCTGAGGAAACTTCGGTTCTCCAGGATAAAATGACCGAGGAGAAACGCTACTAGGATTCCTACTCCAAAATAATTTATTTAACATGAACAGCTTCTTTCACAAAAAGATGCACAGAAGATGGACCTGGGAAAGTCCAAACAGTAGAACAAGGAACAAAATCGACTACACTATAAGTGATTTCAAGATGTAATAATACTCATCAAGGTCACTACAGGCAATGATCACAAAATGATACGAACGAAAGTCCAAATCAACATAAAAAGAGAAAGGAACATAATGATTAAAAATAAATCTCATGGTATCTGGACACCCCCATTAGATGTCAACCAATATCAGGCACATATCAATAATAAACTACTACTGCATGAAACGATCCTAACGACTATCCTAAAAGAAAATCAGATAGTAAAATAAGTCCATATACTGAAATGCTGCTGGATCAAAGAAGACGAATGAAATGTGATAAGAATGCCAGAGCCACACTCCATGCGTCCATGCAGACAGGCCAAATAAACTTGATCAAAACTAATGTAGATAAAAAGGTATCCTTTAAGACAATAAGGTGCCTTGATGGCTCAAATCAGAATCATACACACGAATTTCCTGCAGAGTAAGGCGGCTTCTAGAAGGCAGCAGCTCTAGAAAGTTTAATGTAAGGTGTATTTAAACAATCAGCATATTCGATATCCTCAAATGTAGATAATTCTCAAAATACAATATATTAAAACACTAGAGACTGTGCCAATTAACATATCAGTAAACATAGAAAAATAGACAGTCTATTACTAAAATCATTGCTAAAGAAATATAAGTAAAGTTCCCAAAAACTGCATACCAAAAAAAAACAAAAATAGCCACCACCAAAAAAAAAAATGTCCTTTCTCTTCCGTACCTATCTGTCCCTTACCAATTCCGCTCCTAGCATTTCTACTACTTCCTCTTTCAGTAGTCCTGCCCAATTGACCTTGTTCTGCACACCCACAAGTGTACACATCACCATGATTCGTCAGAAATACAATATGATCCGCACCCGAGGCTATTTTTTTAATAAAGACATCTTTAATGATTTCGTATGGTGACTTCTTGTTGCCGTTCAATGTCATACCCATATTTCCATGAGAATCCTGAAAAAAAGTGCTAAAAGTTATATCTACATATGTTAGTCCTATATGAGGACTAGAACTAGTATAAGACTCTACCTCAAGAGTATGAACTTTCTACATCATAATTGCTTCTATAGTCTCATACAGATACCAGGATTTGTATAAAACTATAAAATCACTCAAAATCAATATAAAAATATAGTAATAAAAAAAACATATGAGAATTAAACATACCCTAAAAGTACCCCAGGCAAATACCCGCCCATCCTCTAAAAGTGCAGCCGTGTGTGAATCTCCAGCTGATATCTGAATTACTTTTCCAGGCAATTCCACCTCTCCGGCTTCAAATTCTGCATCCTCCTTACCTTCTGTAACTCTACCCAGAGCTCCTTCATCATTACAACCAAAAGTAAAAACCTAAAAAAGAATGTGGTACTTAAAACTGTAAATAACAAAGTTTTCGCATAATATATTTTTTTTTGGTCGTCAATTTGGAAAGCTATATCACATCTATTATAAATCTAAAAGGAAAGAAAAACGAAACAGTAAGAAAGAAAAAAAAATGTTAGCATAACAGTCATAATAATGATAGAAGTTTATTCAGAAATGGGGAAAGCTTTAATGTAGATAAAAAACGGGATGTAGTACTCCAGGAGTTACCGATTAGGGGAAGCATAGCTTTCTTATCATATATGGATGGAATGATGGTTTTTAATTTAATTTAATTTAATTCAATTCAAAATACAAAAAAAGAAACAAAAAAACAAAAAACAAAAAATAAAAAAAAAAACAAAAAACAAAAAAACAAAAATAATCATATACAAAACCCTTATACAATCAGTATTGACATATGGATCGGAGACATGGACCATTTCCAAAGCAGATGAAAACCTCCTGCTTATATTTGAACGAAGGATCCTGAGAAGAATATTCGGTGGCATCTGTGAAAATGGTGTTTAGAGAAGGAGGTACAACTACGAGATATATCGCAGATATAAACATATATTTAGTGGTAAATATGTAGTATCTCTTATAAAAATAGGAAGACTAAGATGAGTAGGACATCTGGCAAGATAACAGCAGAACAACCCTCCTAGAAGAATCTTTATGTCACAACCTGTGGGAAGTAGAAGTAGGGGTAGGCCAAAACTCAGATGGAGGGATGGTGTCATCAAGCAAAAAGACAAAAGAGGGAATGTAAAGGTAGTGGGGGCAAACATATTGTTAGACAGGAAGTGCGATCTTTAGAGGCCACATTAAACAAGGAAAGAGAGTCTCTCTCCTTGTTTGACATCAAATTTAGTTGGGTTATGTTATTGTTTGTCCCAAATGTCACATGAAATCTTATTTATATTGAAGTTTTTTAACAATTGTGTCGCATTTTAAACTATTATCGTTAATAATTAATTAAAACTTTCTCGTCTAAGACAAATTCCGAAAAATATTATATAGCTACTGTTGATAAGTGCCGGAAAATTTAAATTTGGCGCATTCGCATTTCCGGATATGTCCGCCATCAGAGGCCACTTTTTTGGTCTCCTTTTCATAAGGATTAGATTCCCTCTTTTGTCTTTTTGCTCGATGGATGGTGTAGATGAGAATGGTAGAAAAATAGGTGCAGCAAACTGGCAACAGTTGTACTGACAGAGTAAATAATTATGTCAACAATGTACTGCAGTCAAATTGGTGAAAATGGATGTCCTGGGCTGCATCTTTGTATTTATGACATAAAAGTTGTTATCATTTAAAGAACGGAAATTAAAATTGCTGATCATCATAGTTTTAAAATTATCCAGTAACTAGAACCAATTATAAGCAACTACTTACCTTTCCCTCTTTAGTTAAACAAACTGTGTGCATACCACCCGCACAAATGTCAACAACTTTATGATCTAAGGGCACTGCAGCAGGTCGACTTTTTTCTAATATATCTGGTCCTAGCCCTAATTGTCCCACATCTCCTGCTCCTGTGACTAATACTGTGCCCTCCACATCAAGTTCTGGCAAATGTACACTTTCTAAGGTAACTGAAATATGAACAGATTAACTATCACTCAGAAAATTACTATCTGCTAAATTTTTGGAAAATATAAACTAACTAGCGAATTCAGTGATCTTTACTCAGGTGTATTATAGAAATAACAGAATATAACTAAAAAAACAATCCATTTTGTAAGAGGAATGATAGAAACTTTCATAAATTTTCTCCAAATTAGATCGTTAAAACTATAATAGAACTAATCAAAAAAATTGTAATGACTTTAATTGGCACATTAGATAGATAGATAGAATTTATTCATCCACAAAGTTTACACAATTCTCACAAAAAAAAAAGTATAAATCTTATCGGACTAGTCAAAATTTTAGTACAAAAGAGTACAATATATAGCAAAAGTACACATGATTAAAATAAAACAGTGATTACAATAAAATAAATAAGAAAAAAAAGTTACAAATACAAGTTACAAATATAAATTTAGAACTATTGTTGCAAAAATGTTAAAAATTTAAAAATCTATCAACACTGTAGAATGTGTTGTCCATTAAAAATGAATACACAGTTTGGTAAAAACCTTTATATGAAGAATGTGAGTGAATGTCCTCATTTCTGTCAAACTTGAGCTAATTTTCCTCAATGTGCAATATTAATTGGAAAATTAAAAGGCTAGGTAGTGTTAAAATATTATACTTCTTAAATAGTGGCTGGCAACTATCTGAAAATGGAACACCATACATACTTCTTAAAACTTTCTTTTGAGCTATAAATGCCCATTCAAAATGAGATGAGCAACCCCAAAATATTAAGCCATACTGAAGTACAGACTGGACTAAACTGAAGTAAATCATTCGCAATATATCAAATGAGACAGTTTCTCTTAAATTATGCATTATATAGGTACATGTACTTAACTTTGCTGATACATGATTTACGTGAGCTTCCCATATAAGTTTATGATCTAGGGTTACCCCAAAAATTTCTTTGTAGTATATCTTTCTACTGATTTGCCATCCATATGTAAATAAAAGTCAAAATTTGGCGTTAAGTTTTTTAATAAGAAACACATAAAATGTGTTTTTGTTACGTTGAGCTTGAGTCTATTATTTTTACAATATCTGCTAAATTCAGCAGACACAACATTGGTATTTTCCACCAGTTGTATGGGTTCACTGTGAGACATGAGAATATTGGTATCATCAGCATACTGAACAATTTTATCTGGCATTGAACAAAACATGTTTAGGTCACTTACAAATATAATGAAAAATAAAGGCCCAAGTATTGAGCCTTGGGGTACACCCATCATACATTGAAGTGGCCTCGATGTTACATTTTTCACTGTGACTACTTGAGTTCTATTACTTAGACAAGATAGGGCCCAATTGTATGGTATACCACATACTCCAATACCCTGCAATTTTGTAGTAAGAGTGCACGATCAACTGTATCAAATGCACAACTAAGGTCATAAAAAGACCCAACACATTTAATTTATCATTGAATGCTTTATAAATAAATTGAAGACAGTCAGAAATAGCAGTATTTGTAGATTTCTTTTTTCTAAACTCGTTTTGAATAACAGGATGAATTTTAAAATGTTCTAAATAATCTGTTAATCTATTTGCATAGGCTGCTTCAAATATTTTAGAGAACTGACCTGACACACAAATCAGTCTATAGCTTGCAATATCCGTTGCAGATCCTTTATTTTTAAAAATAGGTATTCCTTTCGATTCCTTTCCTTTATATCTGGAAATATTTCGCATGTAAATGATTCATTTATGAGATAAGATAGTGGTAAATCTATATAAGTGGCAACATGTTTCAAAGCTTTTCCATCAATTTCGTCTACCCCTGCAGCTGTTTTAGACGCAGTTTTTAATACAATAGATATAACTTGAAATCGTAGGCTTCCACGGCCAGAGTCAGAATTATAGTTTATTCGTCTTCCGGGTTTGGACCATGTCATTTGTGAGTGACCCAAAAGTGGGTTCATCTCGACGTTTCGCTACAATTGTATGTAGCTTCTTCAGGAGAACAAAGAAAAAGAAATCAAAAGACAAGCTACATACATAATTCTCCTGAAGAAGCTACATACAATTGTAGCGAAACGTCGAGATGAACGCACTTTTGGGTCACTCACAAATGACACGGTCCAAACCCGGAAGACGAATAAACTATAGATATAACTTCTTTTTCAGTGGTTCTTGATAAAAGAAAACTTGAATTGAATTGGCCAATTTGTGTGGTACAGTTAACAATTGATAGTTCATTATTTTTTACAACATTAATAAAATAATTGTTGATTTAATCCGCTGTATAGTAATTTTGTAAGCCACCGTTGTTACTAAAAGATATTAAATTTTGATTCAATTGACAGTTTTTACCTCTACTTTTATTAATTATTTTCCAACTTTCCTTCATTACATTATTGCTATTTCTAAATTGATTATCATATTATTCATTTTTATGTTTTTTAATAATTGTTTGATATTCTTGTTTAAATTTCTTGTATCGTTCCAAATACTCTGGGTTATTGAGTTGTTTTCTTAATCCATTCATCTGACACAATTGATCATGCAAACCCTTAATATAAGGTGCAAACCATGTTTTTTGTTTTGGTCTGGTAGTTACTCTATGTTTTAAGAAAGTTTCTAACCACAGAAATAGGTAAACATCATATTAAATTGCAAGAAGTTATGGTTTTATCAACAAAATTGTTCACAAAAATCTGTGGGCAAACTTACAAATAAGACTACCCAGTTATTTTATTTTTATTGGAAATAAGCCACAATTTTACTTTAAAATAAGTATATTTCATCATCAAGACCTTTCATTCACGATGGAATGTTTGTGGCTCTTGCTTAGAGGTTTTTATTTGCTTATTGTGGAGAATCACACCACATCCTTCTTGTGAAGTGTCAGAGTTTATTGTATGACTTGGCTTTTGTTACAATTTTCTTTGACGTTGGCTGTTGTAATAATTAAGTACTACAAAAATATCAAAATAGATAATAGTTAATCAGTCTCATCTAGTTTTTATTATGAGAAAGACAAATCTATTCTACTCTCATTATAATTATTTTTCGTTTGTGTATTTATTTGTGTTTAGAGAAATATACTTTTTAAAGTCACTTGAAAAATAAGTATGTGTCTTTAAAAATAATTAATTATTATTTTGTAATTTGAGATTTATTTCCGAAGTGAAAATCGAAACATTGAAATAAACATTTTGAAGTAAAATTGGGGCTAACCTAACCTAATAAAAATAGGTAAAATTGTATTAAGATGTCAGAACAAAATCGCTTCAGAACAATACAAGGTTACTGATCAAATTTGTCCATAAGGTGATTATAGGAATTAGTAGGTTTTTACTAATCCTACTTAACAAACTAAACAGGAATTCCTGTTTATATTTGTTCAAAACATATGCAATTGCGTATTTCCATGTAAAACTTATTCAAACGGATTTATAACAAGCACAAAAATATCTCATAGGCTTTAACTTCTTGTTTCTGGCAGAAACTGTATGACTTTTGATTTAACTACATTTACTGAGTAAATTGTTAATCTTATATACAGCCTTTTATTTGAAATTAAGGTAAAATGCATTGCAATTAATGAACGAAAACAGTTCATCGAAAAATATGTGTACTATAAAAAATATAGACCCCTAGAGAGTGAACACTAAGGGAGTACTTAACCTAAAAAAATATATACCTATATAAAATAGTAGACTAATACTCACATTTAGCTCTTTTGCTTTTGGAATGATGATCATTTATGTCTCCGGAGGGCTGACGACGTCTTTTATTTGCCATATTTGTGTAAAAATGCTACAATATCGTAAAGTTTAAAGCATGTACAATGTTAGGTTAATTAAAGAACTCACCTAACTAAAAAAATGAAAAACAACAGGTACAATGTACAATGGTACTTCTGGCCACAAAAAATTGTAATTAGTACAAATTATGGAAACAAATATAATGTTACAGAAATAAAATCCATATAACCAATTTGTACTAACCGGTTTTTATGAGACGTCAAAAACCGTTACGTATTTTGACATCTGTCAACATTTTTCTTCTCACTTATGTTCTTGGGAGTTAACCATAGATAAATAATATAGTATATACAGGAAATTAACTACAATTTCAGTTTAAAAAACGTTATTTTGACGTTTCCATTTCCAGTTGAGAAATCGTCCTAAAAATACAAATTAAACATTATTTTGTATTGTAACTTGGTAATACCACAGAATAATAAACAATCAGAAGGGACACTCTCAGATGCCGCCTTTGAAGTTTTTCAGCACGCGCGCCATGTTTGAGGAGGACACATACATATGATTTGTGTGGTTATGTAATTGTTTATATTTATGTTTAATTATATTATATTTATGTTATTATATTTAACAATGTTAATATAATTGTATAGTATGTCTATGATTGCCGTAAGTCAAATAAACCTGGTTAATTTTTCCATGCACACCACATAATTTCTTTAAAATCCTCCTAAAACATGGCGGAACGTCTGCGCGGAGGAGATGCGCGTACTTAATTTTCCGTGGAGAGTGGGTATTCTGTATGTTTATTATTCTGTGGTAATACAAATAAAACTCCTAATAATTTAATTACATTTGCCTCATTCGTATTATCATTCGTCTTATCATAACTTATCATTCAGTGTAAACACGACTGTTTAAAACATCATAGAAACGAGGAATCTCGAGGAGAAACAAATCTCATAATATATGGTATTCGGACCATCGAGCAAATTTGCTCGATGATTCCGATATCAGTGATATCTCTGATTCGGACACACGGTTCGTAGACTTATTACGGTTGCCTCTTTCGACTAGGGTGGGGATGCTTGAGTTACGTCACCAGAGTACACATGAATGCAAAACCTATTTATTATCACAGTTTGTTCGTGATAATTTGTCTTTCAGTTATTATTTGCTTTATTATTTATCGTTTCTTAAATATCTTAGTTTACTTTATATTTTTGTATTTGAAAATTTGGTGTTGTGTTCTGTAAAAACTTATTTTTAATTAACGAAAAAAAGTTATTTATCGTAGTTGTAGATCGTACCTATTGTAGAGTACCTTACATGAGAATATCTCTTTATAAGGTACAGTATTGTGCAAATTAATGGAATCACTGTGATTTTTTTTTTTCATTTTTTCAATATTCACAAGAAAATGTTTTGGGGATGTTTTTCATACATGGGGGTTGGATCTTTGGTGCCAATTGAAGGCATGATGAACAGCCAAAAATACAAATCCATGTTGGAAAAGTATTTGGACAAACAACTCCAAAAATGTCAACCCCAAGGAGGAGCGATTCTTCAACAGAACTCTGCTTCCTGTCACAAATCAAAGGAAATGATAGCATTTTTTAAAAATAAGAAGATTAATGTTTTAGATTGGCCCGGTAATTCCCCCGACCTCAACCCCATTAAAAATTTATGGGCCATTTGCAAAGCTAGACTGCGAAAAATCGACTGTACCACTAAAACAAAAATGATAGAAGCGGCCATGCAGGTTTGGTATCGAGATGAAAGGATATCTGACAACTGTCAGAAACTCATAGAATCTATGCCAAAATGCGTAAAAGCAGTAATTGCTGCCAAAGGGGGACATATTTCCTACTGAATGATTTAAGTTTACCTTTATAGTTTTGTCAAAATATAATTTTTTACTAAACTGTTTTTTCATCAAAACAGCCTATGATTCCATTAATTCGCACAATACTGTAGGTTAAAACTTTAAAATTTCATTGTGATCTAACCTGATCAATTCTGTTTATTATCATCATTATTTTATAGCAATTCCGAGTAAAAACTTAAAATGTCAAGATGTTTAAAAACAAACAAAATGTGAACCTACAGCAAGAAGAGATAAAACAGTAGCAATGAAAACACAAACAGCTATCATTGAAGACTTATTAGAAAAATATTTAAAAAATGAAAAAATAATTATGTAGTGTATATTTATATCCATTGGAAATACAATAAACTAGTTACGTTTTTTACCAATTAAAATTTATTACCTATTATTTAAATTCTTGTATTAATTAAATTATACAAGTAATTCTAACTCGGATATAATCCTAGCTGACCTCTAAGAACCGGTAATTCATTCAATAGTTAACCCAGTATTGATAATACAGTATATACGACAAATTTTCAGTGTAAAATGGAGATTGAAGTCCCAGATTTACGTAAATCTAGAACTTTATTCTGATTAATTTTAAGTATCAAACTACCTACATATCAACAGTTTTCCAAAGTTTTTCCATAATTAGGTATTATAATCCACTAAAATCTTTATTTCATAACTATCTTTACTATTTTCTATACATCAGACATGAAAACGCCGATTATAATAAAGGTCGATTCAAACACATCACGGCGCCGAACCGGTCCTGTTTGGTCACAGAACTATTAATTATCTGACAGCTGGGAAACTGTTCGTCAACTGATGAATGTGAATGCCGGCGGCATATTTCTATTAAAGAATATTTTGTATGACGGATTGTTCGGTTTGGCGCCGGGACTTTGACGAGACGTGACTGATGTGTTTGAATCGACCAACAATGTTATGATTCAAATTACTATACTCTCGTGACGTAATTTCGGGCTTAATGTTCATTGGTTATTTGGAGTAGACAACCGTTTTAAGTCTAGGAACCCTGGAGTCGACAGAACGATATGACACATGACATCTGACTTATGTCAAGCCGTAAAGTGGCGCTATTCCGGAGGAATAAAGATTAAAAAGCGAGATTCCAAATTTTTATTATTCGTGTGTGTTTCATTGTAATGATAGTGGTACTGGTTTCCGGCATATCAATTTAAATCATTTAGTTTTACGAACATGGCTAATGTCAATTTAGACAAACAGTCTTTTCATCGTAGATTGAAGAAGCTATACAATTCATGGCAAAATAGCGAGGGAGAAAATGGTTTCTCAAAAATGGATGCTTTAGTCACTGCGGTCGGCAAAGATGATGATATTGTGTACAGCAAATCAGGTGCATTGCAAATATGGCTGTTAGGTTACGAACTTACAGATACTATTATGGTTCTTGTAGAGAAAAAGGCTTATTTCTTAACAAGTAAAAAGAAAGTTGAATTTCTTAGGCAAGCCGAACTTAAAGAGAGTGATGAGAACCATATCCAACTAAACTTATTAGTCCGCGATAAAGACAGCGATGAAGCAAAATTTAAAATTCTTTGTGACGCTATAAAGGAGAGCAAAAGTGGTAAAACTTTGGGGGTTTTTTCAAAGGACAATTATTCTGGATCATTTGTTGATAATTGGAAAGCAATGCTCAAAAAGCAAGATTTTCAAACTGCAGATATGAGCTCTCATATTGCTTACCTAATTTGCCCTAAAGAAGAATCTGAAATTACTACAATGAAAAAAGCATCTCAGGTAACAGTAGATGTATTCACAAAGTATTTAAAAGATCAGATTATGGAGATTATCGATTCTGAAAAAAAAGTGAAACATAGCAAATTAGCAGAAGGAGTTGAATCTGCCATAAGTGATAAAAAATATGTGTCAGGAGTAGATGTTAATCAGGTTGATATGTGTTACCCTGCCATTATACAGTCTGGAGGGACCTACAATTTAAAATTCAGTGTTATTAGTGATAAAAATACACTACATTTTGGAGCCATCATTTGTTCACTAGGTGCTCGCTATAAGTCATACTGTTCCAACATTGTTCGAACCTTGTTAGTAAATCCCACAGAAGAAATTCAAAACAACTACAATTTCCTTTTAACAATTGAGGAGGAGTTAATTAAAGTACTTCAGAATGGAGTAAAATTGTCGGAAGTTTATGATACAGGTTACAATATGGTTAAAAAGGAAAAGCCCAATTTGGTTGAACATTTGACAAAAAATTTTGGATTTGCAATGGGGATAGAATTCAAAGAAAATTCCCTAATTATTGGACCAAAAACAACAGTGGAAGCCAAGAAGGGGATGGTGTTTAATTTAAATATAGGTTTTTCTAATTTACAAAATCGTGAAGCTTCTGACAAGGAGGGAAAAATATATGCTTTATTTATTGGAGATACTGTCTTGGTGAATGAAGGTTGGTAGAAATATATATTGTTTTAAAGCTATTTTGGTATGGCATTTTAATATTATTTACCATGTTTAATGGGAATTTACCACAAATTCAGTTTAAAATACATCTATTTTGATGCTTTGATTTACACTTCAGAAATCATTCTTAAAATATAAATTAAGAAAGCTTTTTAAAACAAAAATTGAAACATCAAAGTAAATGTATTTTATACTGAAATTGTGTTTAACTCCCATTAATAATCGTAAATAATATTGGTAGTAAGTTTACCTACGTAATATTTTTACAATAGCATAATTGAATTCACATATTCTTTTATCCAGTCCTTCAATTTTTCCTGTCTATTGATGATAATACTGATGTTATGATAGATTTGTAAACATGTAATTTGGCTGTCTTATTTATTTTTTTTTTCTCAAAACGATTTTGTAATCGCTGTTCTAGATGTTTTCCTTTGTGATATATTTTATTTTTGTTCTTCATTCTCTTTATGAGCATTACTTTATATTGTTTGGAAGCTGTTTCCTTGTGTCATTTTGATAAGTACTAATTATTATCTTTAAAGGGCTTTAACCACAGTTTAAATAAATACAAATTAATCAAATTATTTTGTTTTGTTAATTGGTAATACAAAAAAAATAAATTAAATTAAAGTAGATGACTTTAAAAAATTGTCAATGTTTTTGAGGTGCTTTGCTGAGACAATTTTATTTTAGTACTTCTCCTTTTTTCCTTTAATATGTTACTCTATTTGATATGTATATGTTACGCTAGATATTTTAGTTGTTTATATATTTTGTTTTTTCCTTGTATCATTTCTTTTACGTTTTTTGTCATGCATGGTGGTTTGTGGTGTTTTTGGCGTTGTTCTTTGTTCCTAATACTTCGTAAGCAATTTTTTATTATCATTTTAAGGTTGTATTCTTGTTCTACATCCATATTTTTTTCCATCTCATTTAGTTCCT